AGTACGTCCCACCACCCCATCCCAAAACGTGTGTCAGCCTTCTAATTCACGCGGCGTTACCACCCAGATATCCAACATCGACACTGATCAGTACTTCATTTATTACGTTGAAATCCACTGATGATCTACGATGATTTCCTTTTATGTCTCAAATCAGCAGACAGGTTGCCATGACAGTTGACGCTTATTGTAATTGGCATTTAAAGCAAATTTAATGAATTTCGTGGATTCCAATTAGAACTTACGTCTTACAGGAGACTCAGCATTTGTGTGATTTATGTATTTATACTTCTTGATTCATGTCTTTGAAGCTACTCTTAAAAAGGGTTCACTGCATTGCAAATAAAGAACACAAAATAAAGAGGTCCTTTTGATTAAGCTTAAACAAACAATTACTTAGTAAAATTAAGCAAAACAAGAGGAGAATTATTAATAGTATTTTCGGAGGAGTCATTTAACAAGGCATGTTAAGAGTAGAATTGTGTGCAACTCACCAGGCTCCATCGGTCTGCTCGTGTGTCGTACGCTTCTATCACATCTGTCCTGTATCTCTTACGTTTCCCACCAATAGCAAATAGAATGTCCTGTGGGATTCGCGGGTAGGCATACCTTGGTGTCACGAATTCCTTGTCTTCCTTCGTCATCATTTCTGAGTCGTGTAGAAATGCGAGCGTCTCCGAGATCACGGGCCCGCACGTCTCACATTCCGTCACGTACGGGTGATTTGATACCTGTTGAACAGTTCAATGTGGACCTTATAAACTTTTAGGAAGGGATGGGAAAGTTAAATCGACCAGAGAGAAATGTATTGAAATGTGTTTCAACCGAATGTTAAATACTTCAGTAAGAGTTGCATTTTGAGTTACATTCAAAAACGTAAACTATCCCGTGCAAGATGCACGCTGTGTTCACAACATTCTTTTTGATTCGATAACTTTAATTAATCGTCAAAATTACGTAGCAACGAAAGAAAAATTATGACAATTAGTTGCTTCGAGTGTCAAGGGAGGCATCCTTTCTGCATGTTGCTGGTTGGGTTGAAGGTGTGTGATAATGGGCTCGATGTCTATTAAGATACATTGCATGTTTCGACCTTAATTGGTCGTCATCAGGTGGTTCGATACTAGTAGGTATGAGTGCTGAATGGTAAAGACATTTGAAGCAGATAAGATTTTCATGGGTCCGTGTGATTGTTTCACGCGTATTCGTAAGAGGTGATTGGCTGAAAGCACAGGACATTTGACATAGTTTGGAAACATTTTTTCTCTCAGGTTAAAGCGCACGCTGAAGTGGAAGAAAGAATATCGTGAGTTGTATGGCTGCTTCGTGAGATGGCGGGTAAAATATTAAAATTTTCAAGATGTCTATGAGTTTCAAGCCCCTCGGGTAATTTACTGTTGACTGTAGTACGAAGCTTCGTTGCTGCACTTTTCGGATATCTGTTTTCCCTACGTGGTCAATCAGCTGGGACTTATCACGCTGAAGTGATCTTGGGTTGACTCTATATATCGTCGGAGATGCGTGAAATTATTATAGCAGCTAAGATACGCTTGTTATGGCAGTGGATCTTTGGTTAAGTAGAACGCTGCGCCAGAAGACGTGAATACTCTGTTGGAGGATTTTCCTATTCAAGCTGAGTGGGCGTTTGAATGTAGTTAACGGTGGAATGCTGTAGTTGAACTGAAACATGTAATGGATCTTAATAAACGCTGAGACTGTAGCGCAGACGGACTGCCAAATTATCGGCCGCTTACAGACGGTGAATAAAAGACGATTATTAACTCCGACCACATATCTACAAAAAAGGACGAATCAAATATTTGTTTTGAACTCGCACGCGCACATATGCGAGTGTGTTAACTAGCGCTATTCTACAGGAAGTTGTGGTAACCATGGTAACCAACGTAATCTGGGTATTTTTTACGCAGCAAATTTTGCGCGGAATAAGGCATTAAAATCATTGAGTAATTTTCACGTTGTTAGTGTAAGATTTTAACCATAATTGGATGTGTCAACAGATTCTGTTAAAGCTCATCAGTATCAAATTTAATGAAAATCCGTTTAGACATTCTCGAGCTGGAACTGCGGACAGACGGACAACCTTACACGTGATGAAGTAAAAGGCTCACGATTTACATAAATTAGTTACGAACACGTGCGAAATTGGAATTTATAATGCGGGCTTCACTTCCCATAAACATCCACGATTTCAGGGGCATACTGACCGTCTCCTTGAAAAACTTTACGTCAAGTAGTCCCAGTCTGACGCCCTTCAAAAGGTCCACGATATGGCCTTTCCTGTTGTCCGGGTCGTGGTTAATCCACCGGAGAACGCACTCCCACACAACTTTCTCGTCCTTCACGTTCAGTTCCTCGGACTCGATTATCGCTTGCTGCTCCTCTGCAGAGAGATCCAGCAGTTCTTCGCTCTGCTGAGACACTTCCACGAAGTGGCGCAGAACGAAGCGATGGGCGTGAGTCTCGAGGTCGGCGAAGAGGTGAAACCTGCGACAGCGAGGGTAAGAGCCGACTCAGAATCTATCTCCTTCGAACTCTGACACATTCAAACGCTGCAGCAAGAACTGGATTCTCAAGCATTTGCACACCACAGTATTTCGCCTGCAGTTTTTACCTTAGCCCTTTGAAGCCCGAATGAGTGAGACTGAGAGCAGGCACGTGGAGAGGCAACGATGAGAGACGCTCCGTTTAACCGGGCCAAAATAGAAATTTTTTGGCTACGAAGGTTCCCAGGCAATGCCCGCTCGTCCTCGTGATAAAGTTATAGGTTGAAAATAATGCACGATGTACGCAAGTAAAGAAGGCAGTGAGTGACAAGTGTACAATTTAGATTTCAGGCATCAACCTTGGCGAAACGACATTGTGTTAACTCTGTGTGTTAATCCAGTGAAATCTCGTTTAACCGGACTATATGGGGGGAACCACGGGTCGGATAAGCCGATAAGTCGGATGAGAGAGGGAAAGGGGGACGTGTTCATGGATATGAACAAATACATAGAGATTCAATACAGATTTTCTTCGTCGGCGGATGAAGCGGGCGTTTCGCACGCACAAGTCGACTGCAAAAATCACTCGTGGGCGCTGTTCGAGGGAGTCCCTGTATTAAAATAGTGAATTTATTAGTCGTTATGATCATCGGATGAAGTGGAGGTTCTGGTGTGATTCTTCCAATGTCAGTTGATTTGCTTATGGTCGGTTAGCAGAGGTTTTGCTGTATGCAGAAAGATGTGGAGCTGGATGTTGATATTGATATTGGGAGGATTATGTAAGAAGCAAAGAATGCCGCAGAGAAAGGAAGAAAGAAGAAAGAAAGAAGAAAAGGAATTCAAGAGGAAGACACAGATAATTGTAACCCTGCGAATCACGTTCTACTTGGTGAAATTAGTCATCTGCTGGTCATAATGACGATGAAAACAATTCAGTTAAATCAGAATATTTGAATTACAGACACATTAATAACAAACTGCCAACAGCCCTGACCTACAACGCATTATAATCTGCCCAGTCCTCAGTCAGAGGGTTTAATCTCCGACCCGGCACTTGGCTCTCTTGAGTAAAGCTGCTTCGCTCCAGCGACGAAGGCCGGCGTCACAGCAAATGACAAATGAACATCAATTACCTTGCGAAATGCATGATGTCGATACAGTTGTCGACGTCCGTCGCGTCCTTGAGGAAGTCGCAGCAGAGTTTATTAAGGTCAAGAATACACAAGTATTCAGCCGCCACGAGCAGCTGACGCACGTTGTCCGAGCGGATGTCCACCTTCCCCACATAAACAAAATCCAGTATCTGGATCATCATGTCAGAGCTGACTCCGTGGAGGAGAATATCAGTCTCCTCTATGGTGTGCAGTGTTGTCGTGAAGAGGTTTCTGAAACGTCACGAAGCAGTCGTCGATTTGGAGAAACGGCGAGCAGAAAATTACAAGCCATGCGCATAAACTTTAAGTTTTTATAACTCATGCAGCTTAATAAGAGTATCCTTTTGTCAGTGTGGTGGATGAACTTTTGTTACCTGAATACTTCAAAAACTCCCAGAATGTGTACTAATGGGAACAGATTAACTGCGAGAGTGTTAAGAGCGTGCGTAGACTTAACAGAATATAACTTACAAATCGGATAGCAAGCAGTGAACACATGTGCTATAGAATGGTCACCTCGTTTCTTACATATATTTCACTCCTTCAAGAGATATCTGAGGTTGTAACAACTACTACAGGAATTTTAATGCCAACCAGCAAATTAACACAAATATTTCAACATTCATCGCAGGCTGTACATTGCACTGATTGGTCACTTCGTAATATGAAATCTATTTTTTCTGTCAAAACAGTTTCTCGACAATAAACAACTTAAAAGAAAAGCCAATGTTTCTACGCGTCCTTTAAATAGTGATCACCAACCAGCAAACAATTTCCTATTGCAAGACAAACAGAAAGATTTAATTGTCGGAAAACTGAAAGAGGGGCACAGCTTGTAACATGACGTGAGAAACATCTGTTGGAAAACAGAAACAATGGTTCACGGTTATAATTAATTTCTCATTTCAAGAATGCACGGCATCTTCATTTAAAACACACATGCACAAATTCTCGAACGATTCTCTCCTACCAATGAAACATTCCTCGCGAAGTTCTTTGTTACAGATTATTATTTTCAGGCAGAGCAACACACAGCAGCTTTCAATGTTCCGGACAATGGCGTGACGAAGGTGCATTGCCAACTTGCTTCTGGACTTTGTCAGTCGTCATTATGTATTAAAACAAGGAAGTTTTCGAAACTCAGGTGGGCAAACCACTGCATGGGCTGATGTAGACATGCGAAATGAAAGTGATTTGCCTAAGAAAGAATTTTATTTATGCAGAACCAGACAAGAAAGATGGATATTGTGCTGTGTAGTCTTGTTCAAGTTGACTAACATTCCAGAGGTGCTTATTGCCTCCATCATCAAGGAAACTCAGTTTCTATGGCGCAACACTCAAAAGACATTAGTCTTCTTCCTCACCGCCTTTATTATGTCCTTATTTCACATGTTAATCAACCGCGTCAGTTAATAAACAAACCTGAAATATTCGCTGGACATGGAGAGAATCACTCTGTGGACTCGAAAGACTCCACCATCGTCCAACCTCAACACTGCGTCACATAACAGGTTCTTCTCTCTCAGCTCATTCAGTGGGACCAATGCTTCGGTGCGTGTGAGCCTGCCGCCATCTTGAGAACTTTGGTTTGGCTCCATCTCCTGAAAAGACAGTCCATCGCTATTAAACGTTTTTCTTCATACTGACACGTGTGGACATCAAATGAGAGTGACTGAGAGGGAACATGGTATTCAGAAGAATATCTGTTCATGTGGGAGGGTTACTGACAAGGGAATCATGGGAACTTATAGGTCTCTTCACTAATTAAAAAATTGTAGGCAGTCAGATCAGGGGTGATGAGATGGACGAGGCATGTAGTACACATGGCAGAGACAAGAAGTGCACCTATTTAATCGGAAGACCTGAAGCGAAAAGGTCATTAGAGCGTCCTATGCGTTTCTATGATAATATTAAAATGGATCTTAGAGACGTGGGGAATGAAGATGTGGCTTGTGGATGTGGCTTAGAGGCGGGGTCTTATAAACACTGACATGAAACTTCATGTTTCATAAAGGGCGAGACATTTGATAACCTAGGCTACTGTTAGATTCTCAAGAAGGACTTCGGCTCCATGGAATCAGTTTGTATCTTTGTTACAGAAATGTCTGTTGAGATCCAACATTAAATGACAAAGCTGTAAATGTGACATATAACTAAATAACTAACTAACAAACAAACTATCTAGACGGCTAAGGTTCATCACCGAATTAACCAAACCCCCCCACCGGTCCCTGTCCTCGGCCAACAAAACCCAGTCGCCTTCAACTCCTATCTCCGATAGACCCCGCCTGACATTATCCTTCCATCTACGTCTAGGTCTCCCCAGCGGCCTCTTCTCCTCAGGCTTTCCAAAAATACATGGTGCACACCTCTCGCCCCATCCATGCACTCCACATGCCCCGCCCATCTCACTCTTCTTGGCTTAATCACCCTGAAGATGTGACTGATATAGGCAATATTAAATTATGTCGCATGTTTGTCATTACTCGCATAAAGTTAAATCTTCTTATATGTAAACTACGTACCTAGATATTAACTATAAAATATCAATGCAATCTATAAAGTCTTAGATGCCTCTACTCTGGTGAATCGATTTAAAAAAGTGATAGTGGAACCACGGTTCCGGAGAATTTGATGTAAATACGTCTATACGGTAAGGAAGTTTATATATTGGCTTTATTCTAATTATTTCCTTTATACATGCTTCACAATTGAGATAAGTTTGATTAAGACTTTGCTTAATCAACTTGAATTAGTTACGCTTAAGATGGGTCTGTGGTAGCTGAATGTAATGTAATGAAATATAATGTAAGGTAATGTAATGTAAGGTAAGTTAAGGTAAGGTAAGGTAATATAATGTAATGTAATATAATGTAATGTAATGTAATGTAAGGTAATGTAATGTAAGGTAAGATAATGTAAGGTAAGGTAACGTAAGGTAATGTAATGTGGTAGCTGAATGTAATGTGATGAAATGTAAGGTAAGGTAAGGTAATGTAATGAAATGTTTTATAGGTAACAACAATGCCGAGTAAACAGATGACGTTTCCTAGGTAACAAAATACCGAATAAATAGATGTTCCTTAGGTAACAATTATTGTCGATTTGTTGATAAACAGATGAAGTTTCCTAGGTAACCATTGTAGGTAACAATAATGCCGAGTAAACAATTGACGTTTCCAAGGTAACATAACAATGCAGTTACACTTTTTCGTTTCACTTTTTGCCGAATGACACTGACCCGAAAATATAGAAGTATTTACGTCAAAAAATACGACAAAAATATGCCATAGAAATTATGTGACCTTTGATGCAGAACCAGACAGTTAATAAATAAATGTTGGAAAATTAAGGCTACGCCTTCCATAAACATAAATATTTCGAGCTCTTCTCTCTCTGTAGAACTAAAAGTGCTTAAGAACTTCCATGAATAAGGACTTGCCTGCCTAAGTTACACATTCATATACACTACAAGCACAAAATGTAATTTAAATTTATCAAATGAACGCGAGAATTACAGTTGGGCACAGTCACAAAAGTTGTTCGTTGTTCTAACGCATGCATAGTTCAGGCCTACATCACGGTACTCATACACTGCAATGTGCAAGATATTCTATGAAATGTTGATTGGAACTTGGCTTGTCAAAGGCTAGCCCACTTCCTTTACTGAACCAGAAAGTTCATCATCGTGTTCAAAAAGCCCGCCACCGGGGTGTATTCTAAGCCAGTCTCACCCAGTACGCTCCACCGAGTCCCATCTCCCTAAGGTCTATCTTAAAGTTATCCTCCCACCTTTGCCGAGGTCTTCCCAGGGGCCTCCTCCCTTCAGGCCACCCAAGCAATAACTTGTCAACTCCCCTCCCTGCCCACATCAACCTAACAACATCGGGTGAGGAGCACAGGCCGTGGATCTCGTCATGAACTTTTCTCAATGATCTGTCCCACTCCCGTTTTGGGTCCAAATATCTTCCTCAACACTCTGTTATCAGAGACCCTAAGTCTATGTTCCTCCCTCAAAGTGAAAGATCACGTTTTGCACCCATAAATATTTTGCACTCAATAATAGCAAGCATTCGCCGAATATAATCTGCTGTTGTGGGGAGATAATAAGAGGGAGATTCGTCGACAATTAGGCTTGTAAAAAAAAAATCTTCACAGTTTCCTAAATCGCTTTGATATTGTCAATGTATCAACAGATATAAAGTGTTAGAATTATTATTCAGAATATATACCACACTTCTTAGCATCCTTATAACTACTAAACACGTTTTATTCCTTTAAAATTGTAAAATGTTAATTGCCTACTGGAATATTATTTTACTATCAATGATGCCGTGAACAAACAGAAGTCAATGCAATATTACTTGAAATTGTGTTAGAAAGACGACAAGCCTAATTCTCTTACACTAGATCACAAATGCAGATGAAAACATGTAAATGTGGTAAGCTATAATAATAAATAGGAACCCCTTACCTCAAACTTTTTTCAATAGTAAGAGACCTCAATGTCCACCGGCAATGATCAATTTAATCAAAAATAAAATGGAGAGATTGGAGGGCAGTATCACAGATTCCTTAAATTGATATTCTAAAAAGTTTCTTACAGCACAAAATTGTCTAGTCTACGACGCACTTCTTCAACAAGCGATTCACAGGTCAGCTCTTTCCACAATAACAAAGCGGATTGTTGACGGCAACAATGAAACACAATAATGCCGACTAAACAGATGACGTAACAATTAGTTTCTTAGGTAAAGGAAAGGAGTGCAATACGGTTCATTCAGGCTATTACACTGCATACATAATAAATGAGAAAAGAGCCTAATGGCATGCTCAACCAATATTGTTGCAGGGTTGGTTTAGAAATTCCAATGTTTTTTCTTGCATTGTTATACAAGCAAGTAAAGTAAAGTAAAGTTTGTCCCACTACGTGCCGTATAGGCGCCTGGGGTGAGTGGAGGTATAGCTCCTCTCTTCCTTGACCTCAGCACTAGATGGGGGTGAGTGGTCAGCATCACACCCCGGCCGGCTTTACCCCCGGGAAAGGACCCGGTCGTCAAGCCTATAGCTAGTCACTCCGGTAATTCAATTCTAAAGGGTCCTGACAATGGTGGATTACACTTAAAATTTAAGCACCATTCCAGTAATTACAATAGATTTGGTGCTTTTGAGTGCAAATTACTGGAAATTATTTTGTACTGAAATACAAGAACAAGCATCATTTTATGTGTAAATATGAAGGAGGAACTTGAAATTAGTCTGATTTTTTATGATGTGCACTGCATGTGTATATGTACAAAATATGTTAAATGCAATCTGGAATGAATGTACTGATTCTGAATACAGAACTAAACAAAGAAAAAGTACACAGACACAATGATAAATCAGACAGTTAATTCACAGTGAACTCTTGCAAGCCCCCAAGCTTTCTCAGCTTGTCTTTGGAGAACATACGTGATACATTTTTCTGCAGTTCACATAAAAGGATCAATGTTTCCATGAGCTAACTTGTAACTGCATTATATATTTTACTATAAATTATATTATATTGTCACATCTTGCTGTAGAACATCATCTTGATTCCATTTTTGGTAGATACTGTTGTGATGTATTAATATCCTAGTTTTCTAAATAAATATGAAAACAAATTCAGAGAAAATCTCAAAGTTCTTGGACATACAACATAAAAATTGATTGCATGTAAGTTGTGATGCATGACAATAAACATTAAGTGAATTTCTAATATGATGCAGTTATGGTAAGACAGGTCATATGCCCTAAAATGTTTAACGTGATACAAACATATTCAGACATATCCATTTTGGTTATGGTTGCCAGTCTTATTAGATTTTGTTCAATGAACATTACAACTTCAAGGTAGATGTAGCGAGGCCAACCCACAGAAATAAAGCAACCAGAAAATTGTTCTACTTTAGAAATAATAAGGAAATTAATTAAGCCTGGGAAGCAGCACTTACATAGAAATTGTGCAGAATTCTTAAATAATAAAATTGCAATTGTCAGTGTGTTTGTGGAAATTGGTAATCCAATTTTATATTTATAACATTATCATGCAAATAATAATTTCCTTATGAAACAGTATACATTTAATATGGATGAGTAATTAATTATAACAGTGAATATAATATAGCTGTTTATTCACCAAAGAAATTAATTTGACAGCCTTGCATAGTGCACTGGAAGGGTTAGAAATTACAGGGTTTAGTTTGCTGTCTTCGTTTAAATCTAATATGAACCAAACTTACATCAGTCTTTTTCTCTTCAAGTAACTGTCAAACTTACATACCTCAAAAACAGTTTTATAGCAATCTGGTTCTGAAAGGTGATATCCTTGTGTACAATGAAACAATATTTTGAAGATGGCTGTCTTCTGAGTTGTTGTGCCGTGTAGTCTCGCAAACTTCTACCAAACCACATGGCGCAACAACCCAGAAGACAGCCATCTTCAGACTTACCGCCGTCAAAACCTCAAATCCTACATAAACAGTATTTTACAAGTGGATTTTTAAGATGTCAATTGACATATATAAATATTACCTTAAAACAGTTATAAATACTCAGTGATTTTGATAACACAGTACTCCATAACTTACATGGTCATTACGTTAGTGGTCAGTACACATATAGGACTGCACTAAATAAAGTAAAGAACACAAGCAATGATATTCATGATATATTCACACACTTCAAAACACATCTCTGACAAAATGACTATGTTTATATGACCTAAGTAGTTCATCTTTATAAATGAGTATACGCATTATGATGCTACGCAAAAGTTCTTGTGGAATACTTTTGCACTGTTTTGTATATAAACACTTGATGAATAATGCATTACAAATCTTTGTTGTAACAGTCTGCCACCCACTCTGTATGTACTATGGTCTAGCATGCATTTTATCTCCCATTCATATCTTGCACAATCTGTAGTGCTTCTTATGCTTTCATGCCTTATGGTTTGTAAAATCGTAAAAATAAAATTTTTGAAGATATGTATCAGGAATGTTTGTTAAAACTTATGGCCTCTACTAAATCACTTCAACAGTAATAATAATAATACAGTAATAATCCCCTAAACTGTAATAATGATATTCATGCCTCAAGTATGGTAAGGTGCAGACAACTGTGGGCTAAAAATGTATTTTTACCTGTTTAATCTTTCTTCAATTGCTGTTAGCATTAGAATAGTATTAAATGCGTACCTAAAGTTGTTTCGTAACAGAGGAAAACTAACAAAAACTACTGCAGTGTTCTGAATATTTCTGCATCTATGCCATAATGGATGGTATCCAGTTCTAATATTGTGATAAACAAACAGGCAAAATTGTTAAGATTTGTCTAATATCAAAATTATAATATTACTGTGATTGTTAAGTTCTCAAAATATGTTTACTTTTGGTTACCTTTTTTTATATTTGTTTGATGGTTTAATATGTTAACCTTTATCATACAGAAATAGGGGTTTAAATCCAGTGTCATTAGGCTGCTGGCCAAACTTTAGCTCCAGGTTTAACAATTTAGCTGTGAGCTAGTGTGTCACATGGACGGCTGAATAATTGATAAGCTGTGTCACACAGCAGACAAGGGTTAGTGTTTATCTGCACCTTCATGGTAAGGTGCTTAAGATCATTCTAACCTAAAATATATTTTTATTCACATATACTAAGGTTTAGAAAGAATAAATATTTCATGTGACTGTGCTGCAATGCAGAGTGTGTTGAAGCCTGCAGTATCTCTGATCTCAGTCCCACTTGACATGTATAAACCATGACAGAAGGTAATCAAGAAGTTCTGGGTTCGGTACTAACCAGTATTATTTCTTTCAATACAAATGATAGACAAAAAACAATTTTCAGAGTAATGGGAGTCCATAGTGTTCTAAAGAGTGGCTTAGATTCAACCTTATGTTATTCCAAGGCTGGAGAAGTTTGTGGTTCTTGATTAATTTTACACTTTTGTAACTGCATAGGTTAGTTTTTGTAAAAAAGTAGGGTGACTGAATGAATTACAATGGATGTGAAAGAACGGGATTGAGGGAAATCATTAAAAATTTCATTTAGGATGGTCAGTCTCTGTACTAGTTTCATACTAAGAAACAAAGCATTTTGAAAATTATTTATTATTTATAGACAGTTTCAGGTAGAGTTGTGTCCCCCATATTAGAAGCTGAAAGCAGCTGATTAGAGACATGTGCAACATATTTTTAAATACAGGCCAGTGTTTGACTTACTGTGGAATGGTCATTAAAAGTATGTGTAGTACATATGATTAAGTATTGTTTTGATAAACAGTCACTGGAAAATCTGTAGCAGCTCACATCTTGGAAGCATAATTTTTTCTGTACAGAACATCTTTAGTTCCATTATTAATATTTTATACATAATAACATGAAGTTTTTTGAGCATGGTATCGTTAATTTTTCTACACAGTGTATGGATATGCTGATGAATGCATTAACAGAGTGAGAGAGAAATAAAGCAACACGGCCTTGTGGGTTGTCTGGTAACTTGTAACTTAAAGAAGCCGTCGACCAGGCCATATATCAGTACATAATCAATTTAATTTTCAGCTTTCAGGATCATTCTCAACACATCAGATTTCAGTGAGTGCTGGGCAAGAGTAGAAGTGTAAAATGCCCCCTCTCTCTTATAGATGTCATTTTCCTTAATGGAGTAAATTTTAAATGATGAATGGAAACCTAAAATTTTCTAGAAATCTGCTTCACTGAACAAGGAGTATGTTGGAAAAACCATATAACTGACTAAGGCATAAATTAGTAGTCCAATTCGTTAAA